ACAATAACCCAAGGCTTGACTCAGAGAACTGTGTTTCTTGGAATAACCCTAACACTAACCTAAAAGGAAACCCTGTCAAGGGAAAATGCAAAAAGCAGCAAATGCCAAACAGTGTGTTACATTTCTACCCTCATCCACAGCCTTGGAGCACTAGCTCACACAAAGGAACAAGGTATAGTGAAGAGTCCTCTCTCAGCTAGGCACTCCAGGAACATGGGGACAGGATTTAGACACACTGTTTTGTGAGCAGGCAGGGAGGAGAATGACTCTGCAGACGATAGAAAGGAAACAGAAAGAGGTCCCGGCCACCTGTGGCCCCTCAGCATTTTCATATTTAGATTCTCATACACCACTTGAATTTGCATTTGTTCGTGTACTGCACATACTCGCACTCATGTGTGCTTTGCTTACCCAAGCAGCCTGTAAACGTGAAGACCTCCCAGGGTTGTGAGAGGGAAATGGCAAGAGGGAGAGGAGAAGGAGGGAAGATCAGAAGAATAAACGGGAAAAAGATGTCATGAGGGGGGATTTGACAGGGCTTTTGAGTGACAACTGCCCCATCTAAGTACCTGTCCCTTAGCTTTATACCAGGCTTACATTTTTGATTACTCTGTGGTGAAAGAGTTCTTTCCCTTTCTGTTTTTCTCTTTTCTCTTTTGCTCCCTTTGTACCCAAATACACAATACCAGAACCATTTCTCTAACATCAAGGCCATTGTTTTTTCCGTCTGGTCCGGCAGATCGAGAGCAAAGTTACAGTCAGAAGACTGGGAAACTGACAACCACAAAGCATGTATACTTGGCTTCTGCCTCCCCAGTGGTTTGCGGTTTTTAGTAGCTACAAGCTTGGCCCTTTATCTTAAGAAATACACTTTCCCTCAAAGGCAACACCACTCTCCTTTCTGAATGACGCTGTACCTCTTCTCTACTGCTGCCTTTATGTTGAGCCATTCCCACCTCCTATTTCCTATACGGCACGTTAATCCATGTTGTCAATTCTCCATGGAATAAACACTAGGTCCTCACATATGCAGTAGCATAGTTTACAGTTTTAGGAAGAAGACCCAAAATCTTTGTCTAAAGCCAAGGTCAGTGTGTACTTGTGCTAATGTGTGGCACATGTTTTGCTGGGCTCCATATCAGGCAGACACAAAAAGAGAGGGCGGAAGACTCATTTTTAATGAGACCTGAGATATAGAGTTCACTCATTATTATTTTTACTATTCATAATGAAAAGTACCATTTTCCAAACTCTTACTCTTGGGCAGGAACTATGCTAAGCGCTTTACACAGATTATCTCATCTAATCGTCAAAATAATGGTACCTGTGAAGGAGTTCCTATAATTATCCATATTTGTTATATCAGGAAACAAAAACTTAGGGACTTAGAAGAACCCGGCGAAGATGAAATATATAGTGAATGACAGAGCCAACATTCAAATCCAGGCCACCTGATGCCAAAATATATGTAGGTATACAGGTCTTCTCATTTCTCTTCATTCAACCCCCACCATCCCAACCTATCCCCAAATGAGGTATTTTTTCCTGGAAAACAGCAATGGGAATGGGGCATTGTTAAGGCAGAGGTAGGAGAGGTCCTGCTCTATAGCTGGACTGCCCAACACCATGCATGGTCTTATCTCTTGAGAAGTGGAGAGGAAGTAATAAATCCATACCTGTCGTTTGTCCTGGGCAGCTCCATGCCTTCTTTAGCATAGCATTCATGAGTTCGTTTTTGCTGTGTTTTTTTCATATACCACCAGGTCACTTTGCCCCTGAGTAAAAAACATTCTATTTCCAGTGCATTTTCCATTTGGTTTTCGTTTTCATCTTTTCCATTAGTATAAACGGAGATCATTTACTTTAGGACCAACTAATTTAGGGTAGGCATTACTGTCATCATTTTCCAGATGGGCTCAGAGAATGTAAATGCCAGGCCCCAGGTGTAATTCTTTTCTAGCCAGAAAGGTACTAGAACTTTAACCTAGGATTCCTGCCTCCAAAGGCAGCCTTATAAAGCAAGAATGAGTGAATGCTACACATTCGGCAGCCTTCTTGGTACCTTTCCCTGCCTTATACTAAATATATCCAAAGCCACTTTGATAAGTACCCCCCGCCCCAAAACTGCTCTGATTCCTTTGCCTCTCATCTCAGTGAATGGTACCACCATTCAGGTGTGCTTGCCAGACACATGCATGATTTTACTCTCCCTCACTCATACTGCCATTGTTCTAGATCCACTCTCTCACCAAGTCCTACCTGTTTAATGCTCAAAGCTCAAATTCGTCATCTTCTTTCTACATCTACCCAAACTATCACTCTGTCTCCTCTGGGCTACTGGTCTCCTAACTTGTCTCCACCTTCTCCTTCTCATCCCCCTTCACTTCATTCTCATATTGAAGCCAGCACCAGCTTTTTATAACACAAATTCAATCAGGCTATAAATGTCATGCCATCCTTTGGTTGAAAATACTTTGATGTCTTCCCAAGGCACTTAGATAAAAATCCAAACCTCAAACATGGCTGACAAAATTCAGCATGATCTGGTCCTTACCGTATCTCCCACCTCATCTCTTAATTCTGTACCGAAGTCCCACTAGCATCTTCCTATGTCCTCAAACACTACAAAGCCCTTCATATCAGCTGTTCCTTGTCTCTGGATCACTCACAAACCTTCCACCTCCCAAATGGTGTTAATATCTACTAATCTTCAGACCTCAGCTCAGGTGTTGCTTTCTCAGAGTCAGTTTTCCTGACTTCTATTATGTGCTCTCACAAAACCGCTGTGTCTTTACCACTTATCGCTGGTGCAATTTTACATGTATTCTGGCACGTGGCTGGCTCAGAATACATACTTGTTGAACAAATGAGAGGTGAATGAATGCATGTGCTTTCTTCCCCCTCCCAGACATGCTTACCATTTGTCTGAATCTGTAGGTTGTAGATTTTCGTCTGAATGCCCTCTGGGTACAGAGTGAAGCTACACTCATACTTCCCAGTGAGCAAGGAGGACATGTTCCTTAAGTGCACAGTCCACTTTGACACATTCCTGGGAGCTTCTCTGAAAGCCACCAGCGACTCACAGGGGCTCCCACCGGCACAGTAAAAGCCATGTTGGGGATGATAAAGGGCAATCAGGTCCAACGTATCAGTGACCTTGGACCACTGCACCTGCACCAAGAAGCCTTTCTTCTGTGTTTGGCAGGTCAGGTTGACATCAGAACCAGGTAATGCATAAATGTCCTCTCCTGCATTGAATGTTTCTTCCAATACTCCTGAAAAGGAAGGACATGAGCCATCAGTTTGCACGATTCACACAGAGTGACTCAATGAGAAACCTTGGTTACTTTGGTGCAGTGAGGGAGCAGCTGGAACTTTTCTCCCTGGCTGACTTAGGGGTTGGAGAGAGCTTGTTCCTGATCTAGATAGAGAAGCATAAGACTCAATACAAATGAGGAGGCATTTGCTTAAAGACACTAGAGGAAATTATTGACTTTTGAATGTCTATCACTTTATCTATTGGTCTGTCCAAAAAATAATGTAAGTTCTCTGACTGCCTGTGAATAAAATTAAGCCTATTTAAAGATTGGAGCCCACTAGCAAGTTTATTATGACAACTACTCTCACAATGAATATAATTGGCTTTTTTGTTTATGAATCAAAAGCACATAACATATAATAACATACAAATATTATTTTCTGAAACTGAAAAATAACTAATACGCATATGTTTTTAAAAATACATGTTTACAAGAGGATTTTACATAGGTTATCTTGTTTAATCCTCTGCACACACCAAAGGGTGATTTTTTTGTTTGTTTTTTAATTTTTTCATATACCACCAGGTCACTTTGCCCCTGAGTAAAAAACATTCTATTTCCAGTGCATTTTCCATTTGGTTTTCGTTTTCATCTTTTCCATTAGTATAAACGGAGATCATTTACTTTAGGACCAACTAATTTAGGGTAGGCATTACTGTCATCATTTTCCAGATGGGCTCAGAGAATGTAAATGCCAGGCCCCAGGTGTAATTCTTTTCTAGCCAGAAAGGTACTAGAACTTTAACCTAGGATTCCTGCCTCCAAAGGCAGCCTTATAAAGCAAGAATGAGTGAATGCTACACATTCGGCAGCCTTCTTGGTACCTTTCCCTGCCTTATACTAAATATATCCAAAGCCACTTTGATAAGTACCCCCCGCCCCAAAACTGCTCTGATTCCTTTGCCTCTCATCTCAGTGAATGGTACCACCATTCAGGTGTGCTTGCCAGACACATGCATGATTTTACTCTCCCTCACTCATACTGCCATTGTTCTAGATCCACTCTCTCACCAAGTCCTACCTGTTTAATGCTCAAAGCTCAAATTCGTCATCTTCTTTCTACATCTACCCAAACTATCACTCTGTCTCCTCTGGGCTACTGGTCTCCTAACTTGTCTCCACCTTCTCCTTCTCATCCCCCTTCACTTCATTCTCATATTGAAGCCAGCACCAGCTTTTTATAACACAAATTCAATCAGGCTATAAATGTCATGCCATCCTTTGGTTGAAAATACTTTGATGTCTTCCCAAGGCACTTAGATAAAAATCCAAACCTCAAACATGGCTGACAAAATTCAGCATGATCTGGTCCTTACCGTATCTCCCACCTCATCTCTTAATTCTGTACCGAAGTCCCACTAGCATCTTCCTATGTCCTCAAACACTACAAAGCCCTTCATATCAGCTGTTCCTTGTCTCTGGATCACTCACAAACCTTCCACCTCCCAAATGGTGTTAATATCTACTAATCTTCAGACCTCAGCTCAGGTGTTGCTTTCTCAGAGTCAGTTTTCCTGACTTCTATTATGTGCTCTCACAAAACCGCTGTGTCTTTACCACTTATCGCTGGTGCAATTTTACATGTATTCTGGCACGTGGCTGGCTCAGAATACATACTTGTTGAACAAATGAGAGGTGAATGAATGCATGTGCTTTCTTCCCCCTCCCAGACATGCTTACCATTTGTCTGAATCTGTAGGTTGTAGATTTTCGTCTGAATGCCCTCTGGGTACAGAGTGAAGCTACACTCATACTTCCCAGTGAGCAAGGAGGACATGTTCCTTAAGTGCACAGTCCACTTTGACACATTCCTGGGAGCTTCTCTGAAAGCCACCAGCGACTCACAGGGGCTCCCACCGGCACAGTAAAAGCCATGTTGGGGATGATAAAGGGCAATCAGGTCCAACGTATCAGTGACCTTGGACCACTGCACCTGCACCAAGAAGCCTTTCTTCTGTGTTTGGCAGGTCAGGTTGACATCAGAACCAGGTAATGCATAAATGTCCTCTCCTGCATTGAATGTTTCTTCCAATACTCCTGAAAAGGAAGGACATGAGCCATCAGTTTGCACGATTCACACAGAGTGACTCAATGAGAAACCTTGGTTACTTTGGTGCAGTGAGGGAGCAGCTGGAACTTTTCTCCCTGGCTGACTTAGGGGTTGGAGAGAGCTTGTTCCTGATCTAGATAGAGAAGCATAAGACTCAATACAAATGAGGAGGCATTTGCTTAAAGACACTAGAGGAAATTATTGACTTTTGAATGTCTATCACTTTATCTATTGGTCTGTCCAAAAAATAATGTAAGTTCTCTGACTGCCTGTGAATAAAATTAAGCCTATTTAAAGATTGGAGCCCACTAGCAAGTTTATTATGACAACTACTCTCACAATGAATATAATTGGCTTTTTTGTTTATGAATCAAAAGCACATAACATATAATAACATACAAATATTATTTTCTGAAACTGAAAAATAACTAATACGCATATGTTTTTAAAAATACATGTTTACAAGAGGATTTTACATAGGTTATCTTGTTTAATCCTCTGCACACACCAAAGGGTGATTTTTTTGTTTGTTTTTTAAATTTATTTATTTATTTATTTATTTTTGGCTGTGTTGGGTCTTTGTTGCTGCATGTGGGCTTTCTCTAGTTGCAGTGAGCATGGGCTACTCTTCGTTGAGGTGCGCGGGCTTCTCATTGTGGTGGCTTCTCTTGTTGTGGAGTATGGGCTCTATAGGCATATGGGCTTCAGTAGTTGTGGCACATGGGCTCAGTAGTTGTGGCTCACGGGCTCTAGAGCGCAGGTTCAGTAGTTATGGCACATGGCTTAGCTGCTCTGCAATATGTGGGATCTTCCCAGAAAAGTGATCGAACCCGTGTCCCCTGCATTGGCAGGCGGATTCTTAACCACTGTGCCACCAGGGAAGTCCGAAGGGTGATGTTTGTTAACACTGTTTATCAAAGAGGAAACTGAGGCACAGAGAGATTAAGTCATTGCTTAAAGTCACACCTCAGTAAAAGAACATTAATTTGGTTGTCTAGAGTCTGTGCTCCTTCTATAACCTTCATGAGCTCCAAACTGCCTTCCAAATTGGTTGAGAAGAGTAAGAAATTTGACATTCAATATCAAAGGATCAAAAGGGCCATCATTTCCATGTAGTTAGGGTGCCTGAGGAAAGGATGGGGGAAAAAGAGCGGTAGAGGTTTCCACTAAAGATAACCCACTGGTCAGCATCATCTATAATCAACACTGAAACACTAGACATAAAAGAAGATTCCCTCCCATCAGCTCTCTGACCAAATGGTACAGGACACTTACAATATGTTAAGCACTGAGCCTTTGACATGCCTTCAATAGTGTAAGTCTCAGTTTTAGAATTAACATGGAAAACTGTTACAGGAATGATATATTATTGTGACAAGTACCACTGAAGCTCACAAAGGAAAAAGATAAAAAGATGCCAAGCAACTGAGGAAAAATAAACAGGCTCCAAAGGTACTGGACAAAGGGGAGTTACTACACTTTTATGAATGCAAAAGTTTGGGTAGGCAGAGGTTAGTGCAGTTTAATGTAGCTCCCTGTGAGCTCACCTTTGCCTGGTAATATATCTCTGATCCTATCTACAGCATTATATTCCAAAGTCTCCTTTGATTTAGAAATTCTCCTTTAAAAGCTTCATAACTATATCTGAAAAGCAGAGCTAATTCTTAAGACACTCGGGCTCACTCTAATACGCTCGTGTTACGGAATGCAGAACAAATCTCTCCTCCTGCTATTTTTAAATAGGCCCTTTAGGCACTGGTCCCCGCTGTCATAAGGACCCTACTTTGTCTCCCAGGTCCATACCTACACATGCCTCATTAAAACTCAACATATGTTCAACTCCCAAAGATCTTAGTATTTGGAGGAGAAATTCTTGCTATATCCAACAAAGAAAGTATTTGAGAAAGAGAAAAAGTTGAGCCAGGAGCTCTGAGTCTTGATGGCTTGTGATTTTTCTAGTATTCCGGAGTTATTCTGACTACCATTTGGAGAGCATTTCATTTGCAAGAAGCACAATTTCCCAGTTACTCCAAGAGACCCTCTTAGAAAGAAAATGAGTGAAAATGTCTCAGAGCAGTGGCACAAACCACCCATTCCCTTCTTGCTCTTAGAGCTCATTTGTAATCCTTTCTAGACTCTTAACATCTCTCTGAGAGCTGCCACTTAAATACATAACTGAAAACCTTAATAACAGTCTGCCTTTGGTGATCAATTTCGGCAGTAGCCACAAGGCATTTTAAATAAACAGAGGCCCCATTCCCCCCAAAGCAGCCCATCTGACAAGAAAGGACAACCAGCAGCCTTACCCCTGACAAAATGTATCTGGATGATGGAATAGACAGCAAAGTATGTCCATTTTTTCCCCATAGTCTCCTGAAGGCCTCACACCAGCATTTCCATAATGATCACAGAAGTCAATAGATGCCTTTAACTAAGCAAACTCCAGCCACCCTGTTCGCGCTGAAAAAACGCCACATCTACCACACGCCTGTGTCTGTTTATCACTTGGCAAGACCCCAGGAAATGAAACGTAGACAGGAAAGTAATGTGGTTCAGAGCTAAGTATAACCTTCAACAGAACAATGTTGAAATTGTTCTCTGAAATCTTGTGTATCACCTTCGTTAAAAGCATTTTTAGTATCCAAAGATTCTCTCCTTCAGGATCTCTATGTCAGTCAAGCTGCAAAACAAAGGAAATCACGCAGAGCAGTTCATAATCTGCTTTTTATACATTTCTTTTCAAGAGCACAAAGTCATTTAACAAATGTGAGCTCAGTGTCTTTCATAATAGTTTTTCTGTTCAATTTTAAAATATGTTTTCTTTCCAGAATTGCTTCAGGGTGAAAGAACAAAGAATTAACACGTTTAATTTTAATAAAATCTGAGAAGTAACAGAGGGTAGCTCCAGCTAAGAAATGGAATTTTAACGTCTCCCTTCTTTCAGGGAAACCCACATTCCCTGGAGGTGAGGAGGCGAGGGCTCCTTTTCCACTCTGTGTCTGGGATAGGCTGGTGGTCAAGTAGGGAATTCTCCCACCCTGCTGGCGGGTCTGTTTTGATGATGAAAGAAAAGCATGTCTTTACCTCAGCAAAAATCATGTAGAATAAGACAGAAACAATCAGAATCCAAAGGTGGAGAGAATCTCCCACCTCAGCTGGTTACCAGGCCCTGTTACATCCACCCACTTACTTCCATTTACAGAGGACCGGATTTCAGGGAAGTGACTCCTTGGTAAAAATCCCTGGTTATTCGCAGAAGGACATGATGACTGTTCCCTGTCAGATACAACTGTATTGGTTTTATACCCTGGGGTAAAATAGGCTGTCTTTACCTGCCAACGTTAAGAAAAGAAACATTAGGCTGGAACTACAGCATAAGTTTAATGAACAAAGAATAAAAATGAATTAATATGTACCATCTTATGAACAATTGGTGAAATATTCCGTGACCCTAATCTCATTACTACCAGCAAGGCTAAAGACAAATGAGAAGACTGAGTTGTATTCCTGAGATGGTTACTCTTTTGAGGTCAGGGAGAGATCATTCTGACCAGGTCATCATTATGTATCATGTCATCATGTATCATGACATCATGTGTGTACTGATCTGTCCTATGCAAGGACTTGGGGGGGAATATGGATGATGCTAAGATATAAAGCATCACTCTTGCCATTCAGGAGATTAGAATTACTTGGGAGAAGACATTTGCATATGGTGAAATAGGGCTACTGTCTTCCTGGACATCCAGGCTACCCTCTACACCACCACTACAAATATTTGCCATGACAATTGTCATACTCATTACTACTCAGCTAATGATGTTTCCTGCCAAGGCCAGGAAATGGAGTTACTGATTTCCTACTCCAGGGCTCCCAAACTTTTATTCCTATCCCCCACTACCACCTCCCCAGTAGGTCTCAGGTCCCTGGAGGTGTTGGGTCAGTTGTGGCTGACAGGGATATTTTCAGGGAGGGCTGGGGAGTTCAAAGTCTTTGACTGAAAGGCAGGAAGAAACATCACTGCTCTCGACGCCTTCATCTCTGCCCCTTTCCTCCTAGAAATTCTAGTAAATCACGATGATGGAGTATAGAGGCAAAAACAGGCCAGAAGATAGAAGACCCTGATCTGTAGGTTGGTGTCCCTATTAAACTGGGAGACATTACAAGCCTGGGGAGGCTTGTCATATTAAGAGGAATCTACCTAAGTAGAAACCAATAAGAATCTAAATTTATTGAATTCTCTAAGAAAATATCCTCCCCCTTGAATCATCTACAGGTCTCTTATCTCTTATTGCCTGAAGGTGAAGCAACTCTTCAAATAAATCTCTCAGGTTCAGAAAAAGGGAAATCCTTACTTGTTTTCCAGAGCTACAGAGTAACTTTTAATGGAATCCATGCCTGGGGTTGGGATGCCCAGGGCCCCATTTAGTGGCTACTGGGCAAAGTTGCCCATGCTGGGTGTGGTTTTTATACTTCTGAGGCCTAGAGTCATCAGATTGGACTGATTTTCCTTTGAGATTCACCCAGGCTCTAATAGAAGAAAAATTTCAGATGCCCACAGAATATTAATTGTGCTCACCTCGCGTCCTGCAGCTAAGAGCCCTGAGCCAGCCCCTCCGTGGCTGTTTGCATGCAGCAGGTGGCAGCAACACCCCACAGACCAGCACTGCTAGCCCAGTGATGGGAATTGCCCTCACTGCTTTTCAGTCCTGGGAATATTTTCTAAAGGCCCTTTCAGCATGAGGGTAGGCATTCTCTATACTTAAAAATAACTCTTCTATGGAAGTCATGTCAATCTCTTCTATTATCCTCCCTGCTCACCAAATCCCAACTGCATGGTGTTTCTTCTGCCTTAGATTGGAGTCTACTGCATATAAAGAGAAAACAGAAGCAGTCAGTTTCACACACAAAACAAAATCTTGAACTTCAGAGGCAAATTCATATCATTTTGCTGGGGAGAAAATATCCATGTGCACCAGAGAGTCAGGTAACATAGACACAGAAGTAAATGAGTAGGTAGCACAGGTCTTTAGAAAAGGGGATGATCTCCTAGGGATCAGGTGGGCTAGGAACATCTCAAGCGTGGAATCTTAACTTGGCTTTCTATTGTAGAAGTGAGTCTGGTGGAAACCATGAGGTAAGTCATTCTAGGCAGAGCCAACCCTTGGGAGTACTGAAGTTCAAGGCCAATTCAGTGAGTCAGCTGTTATCATGAAGCAGAGGCTTTATTGGGGGACTTGGGCAAAGTCATGCTAGGGATGAGCTTAGAATCTGGAGGGCTTCGAATTCTAAGCTATAGATTTTTTTCTTCATGTCAGAGAGAGTTATAGGATTTTCAACAAAAGAGTAACATATTTAAAAGTAACATTTTAGTAGGATGAATTAGGTGAATTAGTAGGTGGACATGTGAAGATTGAAAAAAATAAGGGAGAATAAAAGAGGCAGGAGACCTGTTAGGAATTCTGTATTTCTTTAGGCACCTGAGGATGAGAACTTTCCTACTGGCAATTGTCATGGTAAAGTATGATGGGGGCATGGACATTACAAAAAAAGGAGGTAAGGCTTAGTGTCCAGTTGGACATGGAATCAAAATCTCCTCTGAATTTTCATGCATCAGAATTAGGAGGAAAGAAAAACCATCACAGAGCTGGATTCCTGATGGAAGAATGGATTCCTGCTCCCTTCCCTACCCCAGGAGCACTCATCAGGGATCACTAGACTTTGAACTAGAAGTGAGGGATGACCTATTAGGTACAGGTCGAGGCCCTGCCTCCATGAGAATGAAGGTCCTCCTTTTGGCTTTCACTCAAATTTTATGAATTTTAAGAATTATCATCTAATGGAAGAGAAAGAACTTCATGAGACTTTCCACACAGCAATTTGTTTTATCACCATCATTTCCACCATGCTCAATCCATCCAGTAAGGACTGATTTTAATGTAATACATTTTTGTAATGACAGCATCAATAGCTGCTCATTACAACAAAACACTTCAAAAGGATAACAAAGAAAATAAAAATCAGTTGGAATCCTAACCACCCAAAGACAACCAAAGTACTTATATTTTGTCTTATATCTTTCTAGACATTTACATAAATATGTTATATGAAGAAACTGGATTTTTACTATTTTTACTGCATGTACTCTAACCCGTGCTTTTTTTCACTTCATAATATATTGTAGACATACATACATGTTATAAAACAAAGATAAACTTTTTCCTTTAAAATAGTTGCATAATATATTATTCTACAGATGTCCAGAAAAATAGTTTTTAAGTAAGAGAAATTTTAGAATATTTTTTACTTTGAGAAATAGAATTACAAAATTCAATTGAATAATCATAGTAAGTAATCTTTGAATTTTTCTTTTCAGTGGCAAGTTGAAATAAGGAGAGGGAGAGAGAGACAGAGAAAGAGAAAGAGAGAAAGAGAGATCAATCCTGATTTTGCCAAAGCCCTGGGAAGCTAATGACTCAATAATAACTCAATAATGGTGACTTTTGCAGAAAAACACTTGCAAAACCTTTAACATCTCTAGAGTTAAGTTAGCATAGTGAGCATTAGAAGAAATATTTTAAATTCTACATTCTACCTGGTTTCAAAGCAATTAAATTTATTTCAAATGTGTCTTCACATTCAATGGAGAAATTTAAAAACACCTTGAAAAACCGAGAAGTGTTCAACTGATTTTAGAGCTTAAAAAAAAGATAGTGTGGAGCAAAAATCACACACCCTGGTTTTTCTGTAGACTGCTACAAACATATTCTTAACCACATTATATTTTTACAACTATCGATTCATGTAGCGATACTGTGTTGCTACACTTGGTGAAAACAATAGGCTAGGGAAAGTCAGCCAAGGACTGGATCTGACCTTTGTCAATAATCCCCCTCTTCCTTTTCCCCAATAATTTGTCTTTAAATGGAGTTCTAAGTTTGA